GGTACAAAGCAAGAATCCTTTGGTAGATATTCAGTTAATTCGAATAAAAAGTTAGACATTCTAAGTTTGAATAATTTATGGATAAACAGGGACTCTGCTCATGAAAAACTCTGCCTCAGTGAAATCTCCATAGGCAGGGAATACACTGGACTCAAAGGGCAAGAGTTTACCCAGGCATGGTTGCCAATACCCATTTCTATAATAAAGTCACTGATGAGTTCCTAATTGCCAAAAACGGAGGGTTTTTTTGCTTTTAGCTTGCTTCGCCACTGGGCATCACTGGAACCGGTGCCTGCTTGAAGACACCCAGTCCTTCCTGTATCTGGGGTCGCACCAGAGTCATGTCATTTATTCCCGTCTTTTGTCATTTACGATGAGTGCTCCCAAGGGATGCATTAAACACCTTTTTCTCCCCATTCTACCTGTTTCCCTTGGGGATCTCGTCCAAGCTTTAGTTTTAACTATGTCTATAATGCTGGCAGATCCCAGCCTGCACCCCCATCCTCCTGACCTTCCTCAGTTCCAGGCATCCCGCTTCCTACCAGACCTGTCCTCTGCCTGCTGCAGTAGAATGCTTTCCCGCTCAGCCCCTCCAATCCTTCTCAATCCAGCATCCAGAGGAATCTTCCTAAAACACAGCTGATGGTGTGAGGGCAACCAGAGTAGCCCAGTCTGACAACTACTTATCTGTTAGCAAGAAAAGGCCAGCAAATTTGGGAATTTGGCATTTATTGAAAGAAAGTGACATTTAATAAAAAAGAAAAACACTTCACTCTTTTTAGGACTTTGCCATGAGATAGCCACGGGGCCTCCACGCCACATGAGATTTCACAGACACACCCTGTCATTGCAGAGCACTGTGAAAACTCTTCTGCGGAACATGATGTGATCTGTAAAGCCGCTCACCCGGCTTGCACTAACCACAAAGTGTCCCAGTTCATTGAAAGTGAAAGAATGAGGGCCGGGTCACCTCCCACCCTGCCTCCCTGCCTCCCTCCCTCCCTCCCTCCCTCCCTCCCTCGGGGCCCCTCCTTGTACTTAACTGTGTGTGACAGCTGCCGGATGTCCCTGTCGCACGGGGACTGCCGGGTGTTAGACACTAGCAACGTTTTTAAGTATTTTACCAACTGTGTGGGCAAAAGAAGTAGAAATCGAATGTTTGTTTCTTTTCCGTATTCCAGTGGTTTGCCCTGCGCCTCTGTCTTGAAGATCCCCAGCTCTCAAATCTTGTAGGCAGGGATTTTTATATTCCTGTCCTCAGCAACCTCAGTGTCTGCCCCCAGGTGGCACTTGAGAGATGGCGGGTGAATGAGTATATTCACTAAAGAATCCTGGATCTCTTTTATTCTCTTCAGTCACTGTAATTTGAGAATCGTGTCTTTGCTGGAGAAAAGTACCTTTTTTTTTTTTTAAGTATTGTTTTTCATTTTGAACTTTATTTTCTGAATTGTCTTGATAACTTTTGAAGGATGTAGAAGCCGGTTTGATAGGTCTCAGGTAATTCAATCATGACGCTTCAGGACATCGCTGCAAACCTTTTTTTTTTTAACCTGTCCTACCTTTTGTAGGCATACAGATCTCAAGCCTGAGATTCATATATGCCCTTTCAAAACTGTTGATAGCATAAGTCCTGCCTTCTCACTAGGAAGGTGGGGCTGTCCTTTCTGGAGTTTCCATTTTAAAATGCATTTCATTTGCTAAGTACAAAGTTGTGAGGTTCCTTATAACTCTGCAAGTCCTATCCGTCCTCCGTCTCCCCGTCCGTATTCTGAGACCTGTCCCCCATCCACACTCCCTGAAAAAACAGTGACTTTAGAAAAGTAGTTTTCATGGTATCGAAACCCTCCGCATCCCCACGTGCTCCACGCGAAATGCCTGCATATCTGTGTCTTGCGATTGTTTTAACATTTGGTCTTCTGCCTGGGGAGTGGGCGGTTCGCTGAAAGCTGCTTCCCCTCAAGTCTCAGCAGAGAAGGCAATATTTTGTTATGAGTAAAGTTTCAAGCCAGGCTTTGGCCAGGGTCCTTCCCATTAGGGAGGAAGAAAGTAGAAACAGCCAGTGAGATGATAATTCTTCTTGAATCGTAGCTCATTAAAAACCTCGCCTGGGCCTTTGTGGGTTATTTATTGATTTAAGCATCTAGCACTTTTCCTTTCCAGAAAGATTAGCATCTCCGATGCGATCACGGCTGGGGAAGGAGATTTTGGCCTTTGCGGGATCAACTGCCCCCCCCCCCCCCCCCGCCAGTTGCTTGTTAGCACAGCCCGTTTTCGAACCGAGTCTAGGTTCACAGTTAAGGGGTCGGAATGAGATTTCCGAGATTTATCGGTAATGAAAAGAACAGGTTGTACGGAAGACACCACATGTAGGAAACTAAGTGCTCTTAGGGGACTCAATTAAACCTGTGATCCTTGGCTTTTTCCGAAATGAACTTTGCAGTCTTGTACATATTAACTTCCTTTCTGTAGATGTTTTAACGTGTTCTGTTTTTGCCGCCGTCGAGCGTGGAAAATGCAGCGAAATGGCGTTTCTTACCCGCTGATCACTTGCCACACGCTAAGCATCTGTGTTTCAAGTCTTACTGTGGTTGAGTGTCTGCAGTGGTAAAGGAACACAGATATTTTCTTATCAGATGTTTAAAATCCTCTTTCCAGAAAGACACATTTTTCCCCTAAATATACCGTCACCTGCAAGTCTGGCTGCCTTTCAGCTCTATCTGTACAGAACCCATGGGGCGTTAACGCACTAGATTGCTGGGAATATTGGCTGTAAACCTCTTAATTCGGGTTCACAGTACTGTGACTTGGGCATTAAAAAAGTGGTTTTTCCAGGGGCTTCCCTGGTGGCGCAGTGGTTGAGAGTCTGCCTGCCGATGCAGGGGACACGGGTTCGAGCCCTGGTCTGGGAAGATCCCACATGCCGCGGAGCAACTGGGCCCGTGAGCCACAACTACTGAGCCTGCGCGTCTGGAGCCTGTGCTCTGCAACAAGAGAGGCCGCGACAGTGAGAGTCCCGCGCACCGCGATGAAGAGTGGCCCCCACTTGCCACAACTAGAGAAAGCCCTCGCACAGAAACGAAGACCCAACACAGCCAAAAATAAAAAAATAAATTAAAAAAAAAAAAAAAAAGTGGTTTTTCCAGTAGGGATCTCTTTTTGCATGTGATTAATACAGACTCACAGAGATACCATTTTAACGTATTCCTCTTCCTGTGCCTTAATGAAGGACGGTGCTGAAAAGCAGTGAGCGCCTTCGGGCCTCATTAGCGGTACTCATTGAATTGCTCTCCCCTATTTGCATGATCCAGCTGATCAGATGTTTCTGGGCTGTTAACCTGTGCATTTAAATTTTCACCATGCTTCTCCTCTATCACGGGAGCTCGGAGCTGCTCTAGATCTTGGCTTTTTTTGTTCCCAAGATTCCTGAGACTTTAGCTGATGCAGCCCCTTGACCAAACAGTGTTACAGACTCGGGCTGAGGAGCTGGCCTGGTCCTTCCGCATGATCTTCAGCGATCAGCATGTCCAAGCTGAGAGCGGATGAGGACCGTTGGAGGCCGTTCACTTCCTGGGCTGTTGTGTGGTTGGGTGAGGGTAGTGGCACTGGGGGTGTTTTTGTGTTTTGTCTTCCGTTCCTGTCTGTTTGATTCTGAAGAGTCTGCAGTCAGTTGCAGGGCATTGAAGTCTGTGGAAAAAGCAATGGGGGAGGGGCCATCAGCACTACAGAGTGGAGGGCTGTCAGCTTCCCTCTCTTTCTGCCTCATAGAGTATTGAGTATTCCAAGGCTGGGTTCGCTGGGGAGACAGGACATACCATAGAGGTACTTACACTCCCCGAGCCTCAGTTTACTTGTCCATTAAGTGGGTATAATGATACCAACCTCACGTATTTGTGAGCTGACATGCGCAGTTCGTATTTTCCCCATGGGTCTAAGATTCCTTCTTCAGCTCTCTCCCTCCACATATGGATCCAGTTGGAAGTCTTTGGTTGCTTAGTTGGTACTGGGACAGGTGGTCATTCTTCTGTTGAGGCCAGAGCCAACCTCTTACCCTACTTCATAACCATCCTTCCAGACATGTTCCTCCTGTGCTGTGTTATCAAAATACAAACAGGGCAGACATGTGAATGTCTTTTGTAGTAGTGGTTGCATTGTTTCCTTTTTCTTTAAGAAAAAAGAAAAAAAACAGTTTGACAAGAGACTAACCAGGACCTCAAGGAAAATGAGATTCTTGCTTGAGCTCTTGAAAATCTGTCCATGGATCTAGTACAAGTTCCATATGGGTCTAATTTTGATTATGCAGTTGTACAGGCCGGAAGGCTCCCTGCACTGGTCAGATCTTCAAGTGGCTTCATTGCGACCAGCACTACCTCCCCGCTAAGGCAGGATGCTGCATGAGTCAGGATGCTGTCCACCCCATTCAGCTTGCAGTCTCCTCCTCCCATCAGTGCAGTTTCCTTGGCCCCATTCTTTTTCTTGATATTGCAGTTAGTGTTGAAAACATGTAAATGATAAGACTACACGTAGTATATATGCTGAAGTGACTGCCCTGAAGAAATTTTTTTTTTTTTTAAATAAGAGTAAACGCTTTATTTTCTTTGTTGCTGTACAGATCACAATGATGGAACTGTCCTTCTCTGTCTCTCTCCTTTTTGTGGCCATGCCATGCGGCATGTGGGATCTTAGTTCCCCACATGCCACATCCCAGGATCGAACCTGAGCCCCCTGCAGTGGAAGCAGAGTTTTAACCACTGGACCGCCAGGGAAGTCCCCCTGAAGAAATTTTTAAAGCTTCCTTTTTTTTCCCTAGGATATGATGATCACGTTTGGTTTGTATTAATATGAGCTACATTAGTAAATTAGTAAAGTGATTCTGTCAGTGCATCCGTGTGGAACTGAACTCTGAAGATTGTTGTCTGTTACACTGAAGGCGTTTGGCATTGATCATCACATCTTTATGCTACAGTTGACAATGTGTGTGGTGTTTTTCTTTTTCTTTCTAGCTTCATGAGGCTGACATTGTGATCCTGGGCTCACCCAAGCCGGAAGAGATTCCCCTTTCTTGGATTCAACCAGGAACTACTGTTCTCAACTGTTCCCATGACTTTCTATCAGGTAAATGTCTTCAAATTGGTGCCAGGCCGCTGATCAAAATAGGTGAGATCTCGCTATGAGAAAAATTAATCTTCTTCAGAAGAGTCTGCTCCTGAAATGATGGTTGCTGTCGACATACCTACATAGGTAATGTGCCTGCCTTTTGGGTTACTTGACCCTGGGACCACATTGCCGGGGAAAGAGCAGCCAAGGTGCCAGCTGCAGTAAGGGCCTCGCCTCGTTCGGTTTCTTCCCCCTTTCATCAGCATGTCCCCTGCTGGCCTCTAGCATCAAGCAGTCAAGTCGGTTGTGGCCTAAAGTAGGAAATGTTTACATGTGTGAGGTAAACTAGAAACAGTGGTTTTCACAGTCTTTGAAAAAACAGCTGAGGGCTTCCCCGGTGGCGCAGTGGTTGAGAGTCCTCCTGCCGGTGTAGGGGACGCGGGTTCGTGCCCCGGTCCGGGAGGATCCCACATGCCGCGGAGCGGCTGGGCCCGTGAGCCGTGGCCGCTGAGCCTGTGCGTCCGAAGCCTGTGCTCCGCAACGGGAGAGGCCACAACAGTGAGAGGCCCACGTACAGCAAAAAAAAAAAAACCAAAAAACGGCTGAATCCTTGCTCCTAAAGCAGTCTTAGATGAACCTCAACACGTAGAAGCAGATGAAAACACAGCTACCAGAGGGACGGGAGTGGAGACTAGCTCCCCTATGTTTGTAATTTCCCTTTACAGTGACCCCCTCAAGCACTCCCTTGGAGCCACAAAGTCACTTCAAAACACTGTGAAAGTCACCCTTAGAAACCGAAGAGGTCTTAGGATCGGTGCTGATATTTGATGCTATTTGCCAAGGGACCCAGGAACATCCTGGGTCGCATCAGGTCACCCTCAGGGTAGCCGAAGCTGTGCCAGCCCCAGGGCACTCAGCCCAGGGGCCTACCGGACACCCTTTTCTCATTCACAGAAAGACACTCAGGCTAAGGGAGCTTTAGCACACCCAGCCCACCCCCTGAAGACCCTGAGTGACATGTGTATGCAAGAGACAATTGCAGAGGGAGACAGAGAACCCTCTGTTACCCGTGACCTCCAAATTTCAATATGTGGTAGGGGAGGCTGTACTGAACTGTCCAGGAGGATGGCGTTTTTTCCCGCAAAGCTGGTCAGAACTTGGACCAAAAGGAGCAGAGGTCTCTACCGGTACCACACTGGAGTTCTAGACCTTGAAACTTAGGCAGCCCCGGAACACAGAGTGAAATAGAGAATAGTATCAAGGAGAAAATAAATGTAACTTCTGATCCAGTCACCTTGAGGTAACCATTTTACATTTTTCCATTAACAAAGCACTAAACTTAATTTTATTGAAATACAATGGAAAGAAAAGAAAGCAATATGCTAAAAGCTCTACTGAAATTCATTTAACTGTTTCTTCAAAAAGAGAAATAATGCACCTTCCTCTCCAGGAAATGTAGCTCCTCCCAGAATCGACCAATCAGATTAAAAACCCCTTGGAGCTGAAGGGCTAGGGGGTTGTTTGGGGTGCTTTGAAAGGAAGATGCTCAAGAATTTCCCAAAATGCTCATGTACTCAGTTCACAGATGAGCACACACATGAATAAAGCAGTTTGAGGTACAATGTAATACGAATGTGGGATTAATGGCTCTTTTTAGCAAATAGAAGGCATGTACTAAATTACTTCTTTGAAATATATGTAATTTCTGGGTATAACTTCTTTTTTTTTCCTGAAAAAAACAATGCCTAACCCATTAATAGTGGAAATGCACTATAGATTTGCTCAGAATCCTAGTTGGACTAGGATAGTCAGTTATAACTATTATTTTTTTTTTTTAATGAATGTTTCCTTGCTACAATGTTTACTTGCTGTTTTTTATTAGAGTTTATATGTTTAGGACAATTTTGGTACAATCCTGGCTGGAGATAGGAGAGTCTGCTTCAGTGTTCTTTGGGAATCCCCATGAGCCATATGTTTTATTGGTGAAACGGTGCCCCATTTCTAATAAGTTTCTTTTTAGGACTTTTATTTTTTAAAGGCATTTAAAAAACATTAGATTTAGATGTAACAATTCTCTTGAGGGAAAAAAATAAGACCAAGCATTATGTTTTAACAATTCTGTATGTAGACTGATTGCAGTTAGTTTATTTTCAATTTATCTGGTCCAGTAGTAGTGGTTTTATTTATTTTTGAATGCCCAGTGCCCAGAACAGTGCCAGACGCGTAGGAAGGGGTCAGTAAATACTGAGTGAATAAACATGGACTCAGAATTGTACTCTAATTGATTGCACTTTTTTTTTTTTTTTTTTTTTTGCGGTACGCGGGCCTCTCACTGTTGTGGCCTCTCCCGTTGCGGGGCACAGGCTCCGGATGCGCAGGCTCAGCGGCCATGGCTCACGGGCCCAGCTGCTCCGCGGCATGTGGGATCTTCCCGGACCGGGGCACGAACCCGTGTCCCCTGCAACGGCAGGCGGACTCTCAACCACTGCGCCACCAGGGAAGCCCTGATTGCACTTTTAAGTTAGTTGCAGATATAGAGATGTTTCCTTGAACTTGTATCCCACTTAAAAACAGGGCTGACGGCACAAGGGCAAAGATGAAAAATGCTACTCTGATTAAATGGATGAATGTTTTCCAGTCGGTACTGTTTATGATAGCATTACATTTCTCAGTTGTCAAAAGTTTTTTTGTTTTGTTTTGTTTTCGCTGCGTTGGGTCTTCATTGCTGAGCGTGGGCTTTCTCTAGTTGCGGTGAGCAGGGGCCGCTCTTCGTTGAGGTGCACGAGCTTCTCATTGTGGTGGCTTCTCTTGTTGTGGAGCACAGGCTCTAGGCGCGTGGGCTTCAGTAGTTGCAGCATGTGGGGTCAGTAGTTGTGGGACATGGGCTTAGTTGCCCCACGGCATGTGGGGTCGTCCCGGACCAGGGCTCGAACCCATGCCCCCCGCATTGGCAGGTGGATTCTCAACCACTGCGCCACCAGGGAAGTCCAAGACTTTTAATTTTACCAACTTTAATTAGCATGAAAATTTAATCTATGAGTAAATTGGAGAAAGGCATTTTCCCCCTCTTTTATATATAATTTTCCACTTTAAACAAATGAAGACCTTTTTCAAGCACTATTAAAAGGAAAGTTGCTTTTATTTAAACTTCAGAGAAAAAGAATTTTTAATACATTTATGATTGGGTGAAGGCAGGGCTTTATAATGAAATTTTCATGGTCATCTTAATGGTGCAGGGTTCCCCTCCCCCCCCTTGTAAAAATAGATAGAATATGGTGATTTATGATGAGGTAATTCTATAGAGCCATTTTATTGAATACCTAATCCCCAGAGAGATTTGCTTGATGGCTGATATCCCAGAAGCAGTGCTCGGAAAACAATTACACCTAACTTGTTGGATCTGTTCACTCTTCTATGGCATGAGTCTAATGTTTAGATTGAAAACAGGGACATAGCAGTGTTCAGTTTTCTAGCTATAAGAATAATTTTATTTTTAAAACAATTATTTCAAATGAAGGAAGTGGGCTGTGATTTTGTAATGCTGTGCTTGCTGAAGGTCAGAAATCATCCTAAGCAAAACCACTGTGCACTCTAATATTCAAACTTACTTTCTGATGTACCAAATGGGACAAAGGAGAAACTGGTCTTAATACTTGGGCCCAGAGAACAGTATCAAAACAGCAACTTTATGGGTCAGAGTAGTTCACAGCATCATTTTAATCAAACATAAGTCAGCAGGGAGCCCTGGGCTGCATCCCAGGACTCATGCTAATCAAAGTTGCTAAAATTCCCAGGGTGGCCTCAAAACAGCTCCTTTCAGAAAAGGATTGTTCTGATTTCCAGGAAAGTCTTATAACACTTTAGCCTTAAATTTTCTGATTGTGGCAAGTTTGGTTATTATCAGAAAAATTATAAATGAAAGGCCATCTTTTAAAGTGATTCACTGACTTGTCCCTGGAGGAAGGAACTGTGAGTTAATGGGGAGTGGTTAGTGGGAAGTGAAAAGACCCATTTGGTTTGGGATGGGAGCCCTGCTGGACTCACAGACTGAGTGTGGACACCCCTCCGGGTGGGGCCCTGCCTCTACATAGGCAAGGGGGTGACGTAATGATTTCCTTTTTCAATTCTCCTTAGCCAAGAAATTTATTAAGAATGTATTCCTGATTCACTGAGTTACCATCTTAATTGCTTCAATGTCTCCAGATTCAGAACTTACAGTCCATTTTAAGATTGCATTGATTCCTACTACCAAAATGATACAGTGGTTATGATAGAAAATTTTTGAAGTATACAATAGAAAAGAAGAAAGTAACTTCTGACCCAGTCAACTTGAGATGACCATCTTAGATTTTTTCCTATGAAAAAATTACACTCAATTTTATTGGATGGAATATAGTAGAAGGAAAAGAAAATAACATACTAAAAGCATTGCTGGAATTCAGATAACTCTTCTTCCAAAAGAGAAATAATTGGTCCCTACAAGATTCTCCTAAAGTGTGAAATATGAGTGTATGTGTCTTTTGTGTTGTGTTTTAAAGTCTTCATTTGTTTCAGCCATGTTCTATTTTATGCAAAACAGTGGCTAAGAGTATGGGAGACATTATTTACTGTGTAATTCTGTAGGTGAAATAGTCTTCATTCACATGGGTATTTGTGATTTATTCCTGTAACGTGCATTTATAAGTTGAGGTCACATCCTAGAATGTAGCTTTTTCTTATTTCTCCATCATTTAAAGATAGAGGTAAGAAAGAGGGAAGCATGTTTCTTTTCCTTAGTGGCTGGAGAAGAGCTTTAGGTCAGATCTCTAGTGGTTCAAACAAAAGAAAACAAATCTCTCTCATTCTCTAGACTCTTGGCTTTTGCCTAAATATGATTTATAAAACTGAAGTGTTGCTAATCTTTAAACAACACCTGAGGGATATGATTTTCCAACACCCTTAATGCATTTGACAATAGAACATTACAAAACACTTACTTTTGTTTCATGCTCTTTCTTGCAAAGAACTTCCAGGAAAATGGATAATTTAAAAGTAGAGTGGTCATGGACTTCCCTAGTGGCACAGTGGTTAAGAATCCACCTGCCAATGCAGGGGACACGGGTTCGATACCTGGTGAAGGAAGGTCCCACATGCCGCAGAGCACCTAAGCCCGTCCGCCACAACTACTGAGCCTGCGCTCTAGAGCCTGTGAGCCACAACTACTGAGCCCATGTGCCACAACTACTGAAGCCCTCATGCCTAGAGCCCATGCTCCGCAACAAGAGAAGCCACCGTAATGAGAAGCCCTCACACCACAAGGAAGGGTAGCCCCCGCTCGCCGCAACTAGAGAAAGCCCACGCACAGCAACGAAGACTCAACGCAGCCAAAAATAAATAAATAATTAATTATTTTAAAAAAAAAGGTGGAGTGGTCCGATATATACACTACCAAATGTAAAATAGATAGCTAGTAGGAAGCAGCCACATAGCACAGGGAGATCAGCTCGGTGCTTTGTGTCTACCTAGAGGGGTGGGATAGGGAGGGTCGGAGGGAGACGCAAGAGGGAGGGGATATGGGGATATATGTACATGTATAGCTGATTCACTGTGTTATACAGCAGAAATTAACACACCATTGTAAATCAATTAGACTCCAATAAAGATGGTAAAAAAATTAAATAAATAGATAAATAAATAAATAAAGAGTAGAGTGGTCCGAAAAAGAAGAAAATAGTTTCTTACTTCAAAAAGGTTACTATTAGCAATGTTTCTCTTCTCTAAGAGAGGATGTAGACTAAAGCATTTTACATGTATGTTTACTTTTCATAAACTTCCTAACAGTAGAATTCTTATAAAATGCCTCTCTGTTTTGAAATCCAGGTAATCCTCAAAATTAATGCCCTAAAATATAATTTCTCAGTTTAGATGGAAAATTGGCTCTGTCACTTTTATGACAGGGATTTAAAAAAATTATCCAAGAAAGCCTAATTGTTCACAGAACACTTTAACTAGCTTGTCCTATAGGTGTTTTAGTCCTCCTTTTTATATAGGGTTGGCCAAAAAGTTTGTTGGGGTTTTCCAAAAGATGTTATGCAAAAACCCAGACGAACTTTTTGGCCAACCCAGTACTTTGTATTCATACATGTTTTTTTTTTTTTTTTTTTTTTTGCGGTATGCGGGCCTCTCACTGTTGTGGCCTCTCCCGTTGCTCCCGAGCACAGGCTCCGGACACACAGGCTCAGCGGCCATGGCTCACGGGCCCAGCCGCTCCGCGGCATGTGGGATCTTCCCGAACCGGGGCACGAACCTGCATCCCGTGCATCGGCAGGCGGACTCTCAACCACTGCGCCACCAGGGAAGCCCTGCTTTGATTTTTTTAATTTATTGTTTAAACATGCATACGATCTGACAAGCACTTTACATGACCATATCACATTCAATTCTCACAAAACTCTACAAGGTTGAACAACATTAATTAACAGGCCCAGAGTCACAATTGCTAGTAAGAGGTAGAGGCAAGATTTTAAAGCAGTCAAACTCCAAATATGTGGCCCAATTGAGAGCCCCAAGGCTGTGCCAGGACCTACCTGGTAACCTATCTGTAGCTGCGCCATGACATCCTCACTTGCTTGGTTGGAAACGAGAACATCATTCAACGTCCTGGCATTTCACAAGGAACAATGTGCTGAAAGTCTTTTTTTTTTTTTTCCAGGGAAGCTTGGATGCAGTTCGCCCGGTGTCCATGGTACTGGTCCCATCGCAGAAGACGTGAGCCTCCTTGCTGCCGCTCTGCGGATTCAGGTTTGTCTGACACAGCTATTTGAGATTTTTTGAGTTTGGACCTTCAGTGAATAGTTGCTAACATTTGGAAGTGTTTTCTGTTTAGCAGACACAGTGTCAAACACTTTACAAACATGATGTCATTTAATTCTCACAACAATCCTGTAAGATAGTGTTATTTCCATTTGATAGATGAGAAAATGGAGACTTGGAAAATTTAAGTTACTTGCCTTTGGTCACATGACAAGTATGGGGCAGGGACCCACATCAGGGTCCTCTATTAGTTATCTATTGATGTGTAATAAATTACCCCCCAGATTTAGCCATTTAAAACAACAAACATTTATTATCTCAGTTTCTGTGGGTCACATATTTGGAGCTGCGTAGCTGGATGGTTCTGGCTTGGAGTCTCTCATGTGGTTGAAATCAAGATGGCGGGGCTGTAGTCATCTGAAGGGCTTGACTGGGGCCAGAGGAGTCAAGATGGCGCCCTCACATGGCTGTTGGCATGTGGTATTTAAATCCTCTTTGGCTATGGGCAGGATGCCTTTGTTCCTCATCACCTGGATTTTTCCATGGGGCTGCTCACGATGTGGCAGCTGACTTCCCCCAGAATGAGGGATCAAAGGAGAGAGCAAGGAGGAAACTGCGCTAGGTTTTATGACCCAGTCTTCCAAAGTCACATGCCACCACTTCCTCTTTTCTTCTTTGCTAGAACTGAGCCAACAATGTAGTTCACAACCCAGGGAAAGGGAATTGGGCTCACCTCTTGAAGACAGGAGTGTTAAAGAGTTTTTGGACATCTTTTCGAACCACCGCTATATCTGTGTGACCTAAAGCCCAAGATCTCCGGCTCCCCACTCCTGTGCGCTAGGCTGGTGCTGAAGCCTGCAGTGAGGGTGCCGGCCAGCAGAGGCGTTAAGTAGCAGTAGAGAAACCTGAGCCTCTAATTAAACAGAAGCAGGTTTCAGTTCATTTCTTTCTTAATACATGCAATACACAATTAAAAATTTTCCTCCAAAATGGGACGTAGTGCATTTCTATAAGGCATCTGTGTTACATTGCAACTAAAGGCAAACATTATTTCTATATATATGTGTGTGTGTGTGTATGTATGTATATATATGTATGTATCACTGATAATTCGGTTTGCGTGTTCTATTATATCAACTGTAGAAGGATTATGCTTGCAGTGGTGCAGATTTTTGGTGAAGCTGGGCATCCCAGCCAGCCGGTCATGCATTCTCATATTTCCCTCATTTTTCTTCTCTGAGGTGATGCTATAATTGTAATCCATGTACTTGATGCCTTTAGCGAATACAAACTTTTTAAATAGTACTTGTATCTCACATTTTCTTTTTTAAGAAAAATCTGCACATTTAACTACATGTGAATAAAATTAGTCCTGGTGTTCACTTGGATTACTGTGCAACTTTTACTCCTTTTCATGACAGTATCCCTGAAGGATATTCGATATTTTCATAGTTTAGATGTGTAACCTGTCAGCTTTTACTTTTCTAACATGCTTTCCTTCCTATCCCTGTTGAAGAACATGGTTAGTAGCAGAAGGAGATGGTTCCGTGAGCAGCAGTACAGGAGGTGGAGACTTCACTGCTTGAAACTTCAGCCTCTGTCCCCCGTACCAAGGTATTCAGGTGATTTGTTTATACTGACATCGGCTCACCAAAGTGCCTTAGATATCCAAAGTTACCCATTGGATGGGGGCACAACTTGTGGTGTTATGGCTTTGATGGTGGATAATTTTCTCTGATCAAATTGCTGCACTATCTTTTCTTTCGTTTTTTCTTTTTTTTGGCGGGGGGGGCCATGCTGTGCGGCATGCGGCACCTTATTTCCCCGACCAGGGGTCGAACCATGCCCCTGGCATTGGGAGCACGAAGTCTTAACCACTGGACCACCAGGGAAGTCCTGCTGCACCATTTTTTTCTGTCATTTAATTCCTCCAAAATTAAATGATAATGAACATGTTGACCATATTCTATCAGTTCTAAGATGTAGATTTTTTTAATTTCTCAAATCAGGATGCACCTTATTGTCAGTGACGTACCCTGTATTCAGTGGCAGTGTTTTTTCTTAAAATAATGGTATCTTAGATTTGACAGAATACGGTAATGTAATATTTGGAATATGCTTTTCAGTGTTAGAAATGCCCAACACACACGTCAGCTTGGTCTTCAGGGCCTTGTAGGTTTCTATGCTGCGGGTAAATGACCAACCAAAGCAAACGCCATTAGACGTGGGACCGGAGCTCTGCCTTCTTCGGAACGTGGTGGTGTCTGCTCTCTGACGGGACACTCTGGGAGGGTCCAGATGGATATTTTATTCAGCCTGGTATTTAATGATGTGTAAGCTACATATTCCCTCTGTATAAATTTGGAAATACAAACTGCAGGACAGTCTCAGCATGTGATTTTGGAACAATTCGCTAGATAAGCCATCTGAGCCAGGCAAATGCATTTTCCAGCCTCCTAGTGAATCCCCCATGGCCACCCCTCCTCCTGTGAATTGGCCCAATCCCCTTCCTACAGGACGCCCATAAGTCCAGCGCTTAACCAGGTGATGCTGTCTGCCAGCATGGAATACACAGAATGTAGGAGATAACACCACCCGGAATTGACTCATTTTTCACTTGATAACCAGTTGCTTTTCAGAATTGACCTCTGTTTCCCTGGGCCACAGCCCAACACTAAGGTTCGATTATACCCACCAGGCTGGTGAAACCCTCCAAGCTATGTTTTCACACCTCAAATAGACTAAACGTCTTAGTCATCTTCTGTGTTCGTTAATACATAAATTCCAAGGAATGTTCTTTGTAATATCATCCCTGTAGTTGTGCAATCTGTTTCATAAAATAGTTTTTGAGGTTACTTACGTTGTTATAGAACCTTCGTATTTAAAAGTCAATGAGCAAATTCGACTTACAGAGAGCTGGAAAAAAACTTGAGAGGAACTCGGCCAAATTGTGTACAAATGCAAATAAATTCCACCTGGGGGGGAAAAGCCCCTAAATTGCTTCACCAAATTTGACTCCTACAGCCACTGGGGAAAGAAAGGCAGGCTGAGTAGTTTATAAATCACTCAGAAAATCAAAATGATGTCACCATCACTCTTCAGCTAGTGAAGAGAAAACCGTGGAGGTTTTCCAAGAGTAGGCTCTTCAGTTTAGGAGATTGTGGGAGGAGAGAAACAGATAAAGAGGTGTAGTCAGAAAGGCGAAATGAAGTGGGAACACGGACAGTGAAGGCTGGGGTGCAGTTGGCGGCGGGGGAGAACCGGAAAGGACAATGCACGCGGACCTGGGGAAAGGGCTACCTAGCTGCAGGTACAGAGCTCCGCCCACATCCGGGCAGAGGCGCCCTTCCCGCGCTCCTGCTCTCGCGGGCATTGGAAGTAGATTCACTGTTGCCTCTGGCGCCAGAGTCGGGCTCCGTGGGGCCACGGAGGAGAGCACGGGGTAGTATGAGGACTGAGAGGCTGTCTGCAGCGGCAACAGGAGAAAATGGAGCAGGGGGCTGCCTACCAGTGGAGGGCCCGCTGCGCTGCAAAATGGGGGCCCCAGGGTGAATCCGGAAACTGCTGCATTGTCAGACATCAGCCCTCAAGACCAAGTCACGGACAGGTGGATGGGCCAGACCCCCAATAAAAGAAGCGGCTGAGCTCAGGAGCGCCAAAAGACTCTCTCTGACAAGTTGTTTGATTTTCATAGCACTCCTATTAAGATGAGCAGCAGCTTGCACATCTTAACCAGTGAAATAGAATAGTTGAGTTGTTTGCCCAGCGACACTCTGGAGTTCCTAAAGTTTCCTGTGTCTGAAGCTGAGCCTCGGGCACTAGCTCCATTTACCGACAGTTATGTAATTAATGAAATATTTTGAAATATGATTTTTGACTTGAGAGGGAAAATATGGACCCAGATAAAACAAAAGAGTATTTCCACATTTTTGAATTGCCAAGAGACACATGTGGCTAGCCCAGTAATAAAGCATTATGCAATAACCCCTCTATTCCTGGTTAAAGAATCCAGCGATGACCCATAAAAAACACTGTGCTCTATCATGGAGTTATCTCTAGGGGTGGCCTTTGGACCCATTGTAATAATCCATCTCCTTTCCTATGGCAGAGGTGTATCCTGGCACCTGGGAAGAATTCTAGAATCTAGTTTTTAAGAGTTCCTTCTCTATCTGAAGCAATGTACCGTTTTCTTATGCACTTTAATTGTTAGCAGTTGTACTTAATCCTACTTGGGGAAAAAGGACCACAAAGCCATTGGGTCTAATTGTTGGCATGGTGTACGGCTGTTTACTACTCAAGCAGCGACCACCTAAGCTGAGCAGACTCTCTTACCTCTTATGTTTCCCCACCCAGTGATATCGAGATTTCAAGAGCACAGACTCCAAAAGCTGTGGATATCCTTGCCAAGGAGATAGGGTTGCTTGCAGATGAAATTGAAATCTATGGCAAAAGCAAAGCCAAAGTACGTTTGTCCCCGCTAGAAAGGTTAAAGGATCAAGCAGATGGAAAATACGTCTTAGTTGCTGGGTAAGACTACTTTTAAAATCTCTTTTACTAAGAAGACGTTTATAAAACTCTCTCCCCTGCTTGCATCTGTCACCACACCCCTCAAATCCGTCCTTTTCTCCAGCTTGACGTTGTTTTGTCCATTTCACTTGGCGGCCCTTCATTTGGCGTGAGGTGAGTTTTTATTTTCAGTGTAAAACAAATGAGTCTCCTCCACAGAATATAAAGTGTAACGAGTTCCTAATCCAGGACTTTGCTTTTTGTTTCCCATGCTGTGTTTTGATCACCCTGGTTCTGCCTTGGGTTTTTCATTTCGCTTTTCATGATGAAAATGAAAATAAGAATTGAAAGTAAAATATTTTGAGCTGAATGGGTTGTTTTTCTGCCCAGAAATAACACTGGAAAATGAACAGGTCATTGTGTGAGACTTAGACTTTTCGATTCGTATCCTTAATATTTATGAACTTGCGTTACAAAAACTCATCTCTCTCTTGCATTTCGGAATTAATATTGGGCCATTGACATTTGTGTTGCTCATTTTACAAAAGGCAAATGCACAGTTTTTGTGAAAAGGAGCCATCTGCTTTATTTTGCCTCTTTTTTAAAAAAAGAAATACATTCATCAGCTGAAAAACAATAGAAAACAAGGGATTTCAAATATTTATTTGATGTGAGCATTAGGAGCATGCAAGGGAGCATTAGGAGACCATATAAAATTCCTTTGTTGTCTTGAAATGTCATGGCATTCACGTACTAATGATATATAGGCCAAGGCTTGGGGCACAAAACCCTATTTGTTAACAGGCAGAGACATTTTTGTAAGTGGACTTGACTCATAGTTAGCTTGGTTTTTACATATCTGATGATTCATGTAAGTGCTTTATTTCTTTTTCTGGTTATAGAAGTCATGCATACTTGTAAAACTATTTGAAAAATACAGAAAGTAAAAACAAGAAAGTAGAAACGGCTGTTCACATTTGAGACCATCTTGACACAGATGCAGTCTGTCATAAATGAGATCATTGTACACATGCTATTCTGTAAGCACCTTGATTATTTAACAATATGTTGTATACCTAGCTCCATGTGAGTCAGGATAGAGCTATGTTATCATTTTGCATAACTACCTAACATGCTACTGCTCACATCCCAGATTCTTCAGTGTGCTGGGGGATAGGGCTTGGGGGGGAGGGGCGGTGGTAAAAATGCCTGGGATGAGGGTGGGTTCCATCCTACACATCTTCCCAGCACCAAGAAACATAGCTGTGGCTCAGCCACTGCTAGTAAAGCATGTTTCTAATTCTTCAAGTGTATTAAGGCAGAAGAAAGGTTTGAAGATATCATAGAGATGTCCCACAATTTATTTAACCAATTCTCTATTGATGGGCTCTCAAATTGTTCCCCATCTTTGGCCATTACAAGCAGTGCTGAAATTAACAACCATGGGCACGCATATTTGTGCATTTATCCAATAATATGCTTAGGAAAAATCCCCAGAGATGAATTAAATTTTTCATACCTACAAATAAAGATAAAACTACAGATAAAGCAAGATAGCATCCTTAATATCACCTCTTTAATGGTACAATAATTTCTTCATATCTCTTCCCCGTTTTCCTTTAGCCTCCCTCTGTGCCCCGACCTCAACCCCCATCCCACCCCCCAGCTCGTCTTTCCCCATCTCCTTCTGTTACCGTTTTCTAAGCGGGATGGACAGCTAGAGTCATTCGGTGGCTGTGTTTTTAAGGAATTCATACCTTGCTGCAGCGCCTCTGTTGCCTGTGGCTTAAGCCTCTCTCAGACTTCCAGGTTCACCACCGCTGGATTCCCAATCCTAATGGGATGCTCTCCAGCCTAGGACCCCAGCCCTGATGTCCCCATAACTGAGCTGTAGGAAACCTCTTTGAGGGGAGATTTGGCCTCACCTGAGGCACCCTCTAGGGGTAGATCTGTGAAAGGAGCTGGCTGATGGCAGTGGGTGGGTAGTCCTGGGTCCCAGAGTTTGGAGCAAACATCTAGTCAGTCAGTGTTGCTTTTCTGAAAGTGTGCTTCATGCAAGTTTGTTTACAGTGAATAAATTAACTCTGAGACATTAAGAACTTCAGAAGCAAATTTAGCATCTTATCCACAGATTTGCTTCCCTTCTTCCAGGATTTAGGTGCTCTTGGTAGGTGGGCTTGCTGGTTTTCTCACCCTGTTTAAGGCGGGAAGAATTAGGAAAACTCAGGAGGATGTGGTCTCAGTTTACGAGGGAAGAATCATGCAGCCATTTTTCACATGGAAGGGCTGTGACTTACTCTGTTTTGGGCTTGTCAGTACTGGAAATAAAAGCACAAATCTAGACATGGCCCTGCCCTTCACTGGGAACACAGAATTGATACTTGTAAAACAAAACCTGTGATGGTATTGTTATCAGATTCCAAACCTGAAGTCATAACCTGGCCTCCAGCCACATGCCAGAGAGTGACCGCCAGCCTGGCCGCCTAGGATTGCCACTATGTGTTGGTCCATACTCAGTAGAACATCATTCCACTCTGTCTCTGCTGGCCTTTATGTGTGTAACTGATCAGAAGAAGCCAGGCTGCCATGTCATACACAGAAGCCAAAATTAAACCTGAATTCTCAAGTACAGATTTAACCCCAGGACGTCAACAGTTCTTTTTCTGAAATTGTGGTATAAATCCCCTTACATAACAGACCTATGAAGGAACAAAAATCAAATTGTGTTGCTTTCACCTGCATTGAAAAAGAAGCTGGGGCTTCCCTGGTGGCGCAGCGGTTAAGAATCTGCCTGCAAACACAAGGGACACGGGTTCGAGCCCTGGTCTAGGAAGATCCCCAATGCCGCGGAGCAACTAAACCCGTGCGCCACAACTACTGAGCATGCACTCGGAGCCCGCGAGCCACAACTACTGAGCCCGCGTGCCACAGCTACTGAGGCCCGTGCGCCTAGAGCCCATGCTCCACAACAAGAGAAGCCACTGCAATGAGAAGCCCGTGCACTGCAACGGAGAGTAGCCCCCGCTCGCTCCAACTAGAGAAAGCCTGCGTGCAGCAACGAAGACCCAGTGCAGCCAAAAATAAATAAATAAAATAAATAAATTTAAAAAAAGAAAAGAAAAAGAAAAAGAAGCTGTGAGGGTAGGATTTTGAGATGTATATATGCATCTGTCTCAGAGCTTGGATGTTTTTAGAAAAGACATACAACAGTGTATTCTATAAGAGAGGAATGAATTCCCCTCACCAACACAATAAGAGATATTTTTTAAGTGTGTAAACTGCCTTTGTTACCTAATCTTTTGATAGCTGGATGTTTGAAATCACTTTAAAACAACAAGACAGTCATTTATAATCTAAAATGAAAACTTCATTTGAAATAAAATCACCTTTAATTTTTGTCAGGTCAGTTATGGAAAAGTGACATTATCAAGCCCTTATACACATGGTTGCAACTTCTTAAGAAATATAAGTTACCCGTCCGCAGAATTCAAAAAGAGTCATGCACCACAATGTTTATTGCAGCAACATTTACGATAGCCATGACGTGGAAGCAACCTAAGTGTCTATCGACAGACGAACGGATAAAGATGTGGCACGTATATACAATGGGATATTACTCAGCCATAAAAAGAAACGAAATTGAGTTATTTGTAATGAGGTGGATGGACCTAGAGACTGTCATACAGAGTGAAGTAAGTCAGAAAGAGAAAAACAAATACCATATGCTAACACATATATGTGGAATCTAAAAAAAAAAAAAAGTTCTGAAGAACCTAGGGGCAGGACAGGAGTAAAGACGCAGACGTAGAGAATGGACTTGAGGACACAGGGAGGGGGAAGGGTAAGCTGGGAGGAAGTGAGAGAGTGGCATGGACATATATACACTACCAAATGTAAAATAGATAGCTAGTGGGAAGCAGCAACATAGCACAGGGAGATCAGCTCGGTGCTTTGTGACCACCTAGAGGGGTGGGATCAAGAGGAGATACGGGGATATGTGTATATGTATAGCTGATTCACTTTGTTATAAGGCAGAAACTTAACACACCATTGTAAAGCAATTATACTCCAATAAAGATGTTACTCAAAAAAGAAAAGGCAGAACTCAAAAAAAGAAAAAAGGATGTGGTACATATATACAATGGAGTATTACTCAGCCATAAAAAAGAACGAAATAATGCCGTTCATGGCAACATGGATGGGCCTAGAGATTGTCATACTGAGTGAAGTAAGTCAGATGGAGAAAGACAAAAATCATATGATATCACTTATATGTGACATCTAAAAAAAAAAAAAATGTTACAGATGAACTTATTCACAAAACAGAGTCACAGATGTGGAAAACAAACTTGTGGTTACCAGGAGGGAAAGCGGGTGGGAGGGATAAATTGGGAGATTGGGATTGACACATAGACACTACTATATAAAAAACAGATAAGTGATAAGGACCTACTGTATAGCACAGGGAGCTCGTCTCAGTACTCTGTAATGACCTTTATGGGAAAAGAATCTTAAAAAGAGTGGATATATGTATATGTATAACTGATTCACTTTGCTGTACAGCAGAAACTAACACAACATTGTAAATCAACTATACTCCAATAAAAATTTTTTTAAATAATAAAAAAAAATAGATGGCTAGTAGGAAGCAGCTGCATAGCACAGGGAGATCAACTTGGTGCTTTGTGACCACCTAGAGGCGTGGGATAGGGAGGGTGGGAGGGAGACCAAGAGGGAGGGGATATGGGGATATATGTATACATAACAGTTGCTTCACTTTGTTATACAGCAGCAACTAACACAACTTTGTAAAGCAGTTATACTCCAATAAAGATGTTAGGAAAAAAAAAAGAAATATAAATTACCAGTCCATTAAATGATTTTTTTCCTTTTTTCTGAAAGTTTTTTCTTTAAACTGAAAATAATATTGACCCATTGAATAAAAATTTAGCATAAAGCAAAGTAAAAAGAAGGAGAAAACGAAATCTCTCATTACTCAGAAGTATTCAGAATTTTTATAT